TCAGGAACTCTTTCCGATGGCTCGAAGTTTGACTCATCGCGCGATAGAGGAAAGCCATTCAAGTTTAAGATCGGTAGAGGAGAAGTGATCAAAGGCTGGGACGTCGGCGTCGCACAGGTATGTCATCCATTACATCGCCCAATACCTCTACCATATGCTAATTACCACTATATTCCCTCTATCACTGTATGGACCAGATGTCTGTTGGCCAGAGGGCTCGACTGATCTGTTCGCCGGACTTCGCGTACGGCAGTAAAGGACATCCCGGGGTTATACCGGCCAACGCTACGCTCACTTTTGACGTCGAGCTCATCAAACTAGAGTGAAATACAGCACAATAACAGCCCTCTATCTCTCCCTATAACCCCCTCCCGTCCACTAAAACTAATTATAATAATAATTACCCGATATTTGTCCCGAAATTTTATTCCCTATAAATTGCAATTTAAAACAAAATAAACACAACTAATGAAAACCCAAAAATGTTTTACTATATAATAATATTTACACGAAATCTAAATTTTTGATTTGGTTTTTATGAATGTATTTTTTAATTGATTTATAATCTCCAGTAGTGTTTGCTTTGTGTCTGAGATTTTTGTCATTGAAAGTCTCTATTGGAAAATCCGTGTATAAGTTTGACCACAATTTATTACACAACACAACACTATTGTATACATTGATTAACGAAAAAATAATAAATGTGTAGACAATTAATGAGCCGTTAATTTGTTTTTGTTTTACTATTTATGTTGCAATTAATTTATAATATTACTGATAATCGTTAATATTTAATCCCTTTTATTGTGATTAATATTTTCGTAGATATTAACCATCGATTGGATTATTAATTCTTGTAATCCGTTGTGTTTTGCAATTAATTCAGTTGTGATATAAATATGAAATCAATTTAAAGTTTAAATAATTTTAAATTTTAAACAATATTTAAGAGAACATTAACATTGATTATCACAAGACTAGTAGTCATCACTGATTGGGGATTCAAATCCATTGCTAAACATAAATATTAGTTTGTGTTATCGGTTATAATGTGAATTTTATTTTTGGGTTTTGCAAGCTTATGGTTAAATGAATACTTGATTTTTGATACATGGCTTGAATCAATACTGTCGAGTGCAGCGTATTTACACCGATATATTCAATTGTGCAATAATATCATGGTCTAAATGGTATGTGACCTTTAAGACTTTCATATGAAATAACAATAAGGTAAGAATGCGGTCTATAAATACCATACATTTGTAGCGTTTCTTATATCGCTTATGGCATGAATGCAATTGAATTGGGTTTTAATGAATGATATAAAGTGTATTTTACTTGAATATTATCCGCAACAATCTTGGCTACAAACCTGAGGGCTAAATTAACCTGGTTAATATGTGTGCCCAGGGGCAGTTTGAGTTTGTTATCCAGAGAGAGATATGCTGTGCGATATCGATCACGTTATTCTGGTGCTCAACATTTAGCACAACAACTAAACGCTGTTTTATTACTGAATGCATGTCTGGCTTTACAATCGATTCATTACCCAAAAAACTCGTTCATTGAAACCAATAATACGGTAATTATATAACAATATAGTTATGCGTTTACGCAGAGAGAGAGAGAGAGAGAGAGAGAGAGATAGAGGGCTGTTATTGTGCTGTATTTCACTCTAGTTTGATGAGCTCGACGTCAAAAGTGAGCGTAGCGTT